TAATCGAAAAATCTGAGAATTGACATAAAGACGGTTAACTACCGACTACCTGGACAGGCACTTGATATGACACTTGATATATATATATATGTATATATATATATATATAAAATGAGTCTCGTACCGAGTTGAGTGGTGCCCACTCTCAGTTTTGTTTACTTTGAAGCAAGATGCAACGATTTAGTTAATTTTTGGATGTTCTGCGGGTTCTCTTTTTTATAAGTTACTAGCGGCAAACCCGGCTCCACCCGGTCCTGTCAATAATATTAGGTTGTCTCATAATTAATGCACGTTTTTCTAACCCCTTTTTGAAAAAGGTGATTCTCAAAGAAAAACTTGAAAGCCCAATTCTTCTAGTTTCTACCATGTGCTTCCATTTTCGCAAATCTCTATTCAAACTGGAGTTTCATGCCTTCAAAGACAAGTGACCAAAATACAAATTCTTTCCTTTTACTCTCCTTGCTCTAAATCCCTGAGAAGTAGACGGATTTTCTTCAAAAAAATGCATAACCAATTCGAAGTTTTGTCCCCAGAACGCTTGTCAATAATAGGTTTTGAGAAGTCTTGAGCTGAGAAATCTTGCCTCAAATTCGACTGGTCGCTGAGGCCCATCTATGCTGCATAAAATTCTCAGGCAAGAAGCGACTGTACAAAAGTCGCTATGTACACCTAAGATAGACCTACTACAGCTAATGCTGGGAGAACGGCGGCATTTCCTCTTCCTTCCGACGAGAAAAAATTTTGAAAAATCCCAAGAAGGCAGTTTTTTGGAATTTTTAAAGTGCTGAAAAAAGTGGCTACTTTTAATTCCTTGCAAAATTTTCTCACACAAAAATGCCGTAAACTCCGTACCTTACTCCGTTGAACAACTCCATCGACTATATAACGAGCAAACTTTGCGCGATTGTAGTACATTTGAGAGCAAGTTAAGCTCTCTCAAAGTGTAAGTTTCTAGATAAATATTTGAAATTCATCGGGCTAGAAAATCTTTCAGAAAATGGCTACAATCCAACAAAAGCATATAGTAGTAGCATATATAGTCAAAGGTTTGCTGCTTGCAGTAATCTTTATTGCGCTCAGAAAGATGGTTTTGGAAAAGAATTATCTTGATCAGAACCTAAAATTCAAAAAACGTGCATTGATTATGAGACAACCTAATACAGTGCTGGCCATAATTATGAAGACACTCCAGAAATCGTCGTAATTTTCGTTCTTGTCAATGAACCTGTCTGAAACTTTGCTATATTATACGCAGTTAATCTGCCATGATCTCTCAAAACGGCTTCTAGTCGTGTTGAGTTTGAACGGATAGAAACAAATAAATTCGAAAAAGCCCTTAACGAAAGGGACAAAAGAACACGACACCTGGTTTTTCTAATCACTATCGCATTCGTTGACTCTCAAATTCTTTTTGTTACATCCTAAACTATGAAACGTTCGCAACACCTACGGCCTGTCATCCTACTCAAATAGAAGCAATCACTGCATTTTTTGTTTTCAAAAGCATCAAAAGTCAATCTGCTCTAACAAGGAGCTGGTTAGAGGAGTTTTGAAGCCCTTGTTTATTTCAAATGATATTCATAGAATTTAATGAGCATTTTCGATAGATGAGGTGGGAGCTTACCATAAACTCTGCGTAATCGCTGATATTGAGGGACAAACTCTAACCTTACCACAGGGTTGTCACGCTTTTGCACCACAAAACTCGATTTTCAAACAACAGAAAATGCTGTAATTTAGCCATTGCGACAGCCATACAACAATGAACTTGTGTGCATGACTGGGAAAAATTTCGGGATTGAGCACTTTGGTTCAGCCGCAGTTGATATCCACTGAATGTTGAGTAGCAACTGCACAATCAAAGCCAACTCAGATCACGAGATAAAATAGGAGACGCTTAAAACCGAAGTCATAGCTAATCTCATAAAATAGGAGACGCTTAAAACCGAAGTCATAGCTAATCTCATTCATCGGGTAAAATATGACATGAAACACAGAGGGAAATAAGGAGATCTAGGGTTATATCGAATCTTCTGCTCGCAGGAAATTTTCGCGAAAAGTTTTTCAGACCTAAATCGCAACTGCATCACTAGGGAAAACCAGAAGCTGTTGTAAGTTGCATCACCATGTGAGCAATGTGATGAATCAAATCCAGCGCTTTATGAACATTGCAAACAGAGTTTTGTGACGTAAAAGCGTGAGAACCCCATGGTGAGATTGGAGTCTTTCCGTCAATATCAGCGATTAGTTTATAAAAGCGCTCCCCACCTTATCTATCGCTCAGTAGATTCTATGACTATCATTTGAAATAAACAAGGGCTTGAAACTCCTCCAGCTTCTTGTTAGAGCATATTGACTTTTGATGTTTTGAAAGCAAAAAACGCAGTGATCGCTTCTATTTGAGTAGGACGACAGGCCGTACGTGTTGCGAACGTTTCATATTTAGGATGTAATTGCACAAAAAGATTTGAGTGTCAATGAAAGCGATAGTGATCAAAAAAACCAGGTGTCTTTATATTTTGTCCAGCTTTCGGTAGGGTTTTTTCGAATTTTTCTATTTCTCCATTCAAACTCAACAAAACGGAAGCTGTTTTGAGGGATCATGGAAGGCTGACATGCGCACTAAATAGCAAAGTTTCAGACAAATTCGTCAACAAGGACGCAAATTACTACAGTTTTTAGAATGTCTTTATAATTATGGCCAGCACTTTATATTCGCAGGCAGCATGCTCACTTACCCTCCCCCTCCCCCTCTCTCCGCACAAATTTTCAGCTCCTAGCTCAAATTCTGCAAAAAATCGATGTCAATATCGATCAATGGCGAAGAGTGACCTACGAAACGCGCCTCGCCCCCCCCCCCCCACCCCTTCCCCCCTCCGAAGTGTATGTATGCGCCCCGCCCCGCTACCGGATTGGTCCAGGAAAAAATTTTTTGTTTGGAACATACGTACAGACAAACATATAGACACACATACAGACAAACAGACATTGAACTTTGTATATAAGAAGACCGGTATGGTATGAGGTAAAACACCTAATGGGACGTGTCTTCTCGCTATATAGGTATGGTCGTGAAGACAATGAAAAGCTCGGAAATTTTTCAGAGTAATGCTTTGCAGCTAAAGGCAACATATTTGTACATGGCATTCAAGTTAATTACGGATGTGTTGAAGCCAATGTATCTAAGTAATTGTTAAAAATCTCAAAAAAATGCGTGTATAGAATCTTATATATAAAGCTGAAGTCTGTTTGTATGTCTGTATGTCTGTATGTCTGTATGTCTGTATGTCTGTCTGTATGTATGTACGTATGTTCCGAATAGAAAATTCCATTTCTTAACCGATCGGGACCAAACTTGGCACACATACACTTCGGGCCCCGGCGGGTGTCATAGGCTACTTTTGGTATCGATCGATATCGATTTTATTTGCAAAGTTTGAGCTACGGGGCTGGGGTTTGGCACAGGGGGGTAATCGAGGCATGCTGATCACCCCCTGATAAAATCGATAAAAGTAATGCACGGTTTCAAAAACTAATATTTTATTCGTAATCAGCATGCTCGATTACCCCCCCCCCCCTGTGCCAAATCCCAGCCCCCTAGCTCAAATTTTGCAAAAAATCGATAAAATCGACATCAGTCGATAACGAAAAGTGGACTGTGACACCCGCCGGGGCCCGAAGTGTATGTGTGCCAAGTTTGGCCCGGATCGGTTCAGAAATGGAATTTTCTATTCGGAACATACGGCGGAGCCGGGTATGCCAGCTCCAGCTAGTACTCCATAAGAAAGTGTGTGTGGGGAGGGGGAGGGGGGAAAGGGGCTTGCATATCGTCTCTGCAGACCAATACAAGCACTATCGCAGAATTTGAAATGATTTTGAAATTTGATACTCTCATTCTGTTTCTATGCTTTGACTGACAAAAGCACCTCCGCTCTTCAAAGGTTGTATATAATTTTTTTTCAAAAAATCTTACATAACTCTTGTTATGTTATAAACTAATGGCTCTTCTAAGCACTGAGGCTCTTGTCTGGATAGAATCAACTACATAAACAACACACTACATTCTAGCACGACGCAACATGTGGCCGTTTATGGTCATCACGGAAGGCAATTAAATAGCAAAACTGGTCGAAACAACAAAGGCCTCCCACCGGTTATCGTCAGATATGGAAACTACTTCATTTAATCCATCCATGAGAGAAGCGCAAATGCGCCAACCATATACTTTGTTCGCTAACTTCCTCACCAACTTGTACGAAGTTATGTGCAGGTTTTTTTTCCTATTGATTAAAACGACATTGGGTTAGCACAATCTGTACTATATGACCGCGAAGAATAAAGATAGACGGATATTCTAAAGCACTGACACAGAATTTCTCCTGCACTTTGAATATTGCTTGCTTGACCTTCGCAGAACAACACTGTAAAACTCTCGATTACCTTTAATGCAAATCCTCTGCTTCCACACCCTTCTGATAGCTATTCCTTCCTTACATGTGCAGGATCTTCAGCAAAAATCACATTTCTACATGCGCTATCGTATTTGTTTGCAGAACATCTGCTCAAGCATTTACTGAAGCTTCGTCAAGAGTCAGAGATAGAATTTTTCAGCGTAGTTAAATTTAGGCAGACAAAAACAATGCATTGAAATTGACTATCTTAATGCTCGTTATGAACTCAATGGCTAATAAAAAGACTCTGCGCAGTAATTCTTTAGAGTCACGTCAATCTTTGTTCTACGTCTACGGGTAAGTCTAATTGCACAAGCTTTTCGTCGAATCAGTGTTTAAAACGAGACAAATTCCTCCATTTTCCTTCAAAACCTAAGCAGCGTCTACCTGCCTATTTGAGAGTAACGTAGCTTCGTGAAGCTGCGAACATTTACAAGCATCACAGCCATCCTAAAGAATAACTTAATATTTTCCTCAATTTAGCTGGCTATCTGGACTCACGTGCTCTGGTTAACGTTCAAGTTTGATAAGTCAAATACAAGTTTTCAGCTCAAGGAATTATCGACGACATTTACTTTTGAACACCTTTACAATGAAAATCACAACAACAAGCGCTCAACTACTTATCATGCTTGCAGGTAAATTTTTAATATCCATTATACTATTAGAGTGAACGGTAAAAATGGGGCAGCTTAATTTTTATTACATTTTGAGGTTTTTGTTTTATTCTGGCAACGCATTACCGCTCCTCTCTCAAAACCGTACGTATGGCGCCGTGAGAAACTCAGACAGGGTTTTTGGAACAATTATCAATCTTGCGCTGCTATACCGTAAAGTCGTAAAGGGCACTCCATTCGAAAAAGCTCTTCATGCTCTTTCAAACGATATGTTAAATGCATGAAATTTCTCCTCAGTTTAAAAAAAAACGAAAAAACTAAAAAACAGCCAATTTTTTCGCAATAAAAAACCAAAAAATCATGTGTTGCCCTATATTTTCCGAAGATGGATAAAATGTGAGGTAAGCTGCATATAGATGGATAGAGCGTAAAAAGCTCTATCAGAAGGTACCTAGAAAACATGCGTTCACCTGCAAAAAATTGAAGAACGCGTATCTTTGTTTTTGAAACTGCTAATGGCCATATCTCCCGACCAGGGTCAAGCGTGCTGATGCGATTCGGGACCCTCATTTACAACCCCTCCCCCCTAAAGGGGGTGTATGTTAAGAGGCGCGATTCCTATTGCCAGATGGGTAGCATATAGCACATATTTAGTGTTTTATGAAGTTCTAGAATTACTTGAAATTTCGAAAGAAGTATATCAGGGAATTTAGGGATTGTTCGATCTCATCGCCTTGAAATCGATTTCAAACAAGTTAAAGGGCAAAAACACATGAAAATGCAGTTAACAGCATTTTTGTAAATATTTCTGTCAGTTCTCTAGCAAAAGTCGTCAAACTTATCAAATGGTTACTTAAAACAGCTAGTAAGCCAATGCACTTTGTCCGGCACTTTTTGTCTCCCATAGCATGAAACTGAGTTTTAAATTGATGACATCCAGAAAAATCGCGCCTCTTGACCGTCTCCCCCTAAAGGTACCCATCCCTACGACCAGGGCTCGGCACGAGGTGGCTAGATGAAAATGGAAAAAACGAAGTCCCCCTTGACTTTTGGGAATTTTTACGCCTCTTTGACCCTCAACCAAATTTCCTCTAAAAACCTGAAAAATTCCCCAAAATCCCCCAAAAAACGAAACGTCGACTAAAAAAAAAGGTCGCCGTCGCCAATTTTCCGTGTCTCTTCGGTCACAAAAACGAAACTCCCTTTGCTTTTCGTCCCAAAAACGATATCCAGCTTGCTTGTAAGCCACCTCGTGCCGAGCCCTACCTACGACCCCCCCTCCCCCACCTACCCCCCCTCCCCGCCCCCCGCCCCGTCCTCTTCCACTTCCTTTTGTGGTAACCTGCATAAACGAATGTCAATCCCAAAAGATTCCTGCCAAGGGACTTCAATCAAAATTATAGGTAGAGAAAGATGACTGCTTATAAATTGGGAGATAATGTAAATAATACTTCACCATTTAAACAACAAATAATTCTACGTAGATTGAGTAAGTAGTCAAACTTTATTGGCTATGCTTATTGTGTTTGGGAAAATATGAATGGAAAGTACATCATCTGACAAAGCAGAATATCGAATTTGATTTGAATAGTATTTAAGATGTACTCTTGAATACTATTCAAATCAAACTCTAAGATGTACCTATAAAAAGTGAAATAAAATAATAACCAAGAAAAATTCAGCATTACGAAACCGCTCACTTAGTCATTATAATTGACTTTTCTATAATAACTCCTTTTCTAGTGAAGGTTAATAAACTTTTCTGCTGTTTATGAATGTTCGACATAACCTTTTCATGGTCCAGTGGTACCGAAAGATATAGACTATGGTTCTGGGAATTAGAACGTTTTAGACTTATGACAGTCACGTGTTCTATCCCCGTACGCGACAATACTTTTTTTGCAGGAAGAAAAAACGATGCCTTTGAAACGTAAAAAGTGTTTTCGACTAAAAAGCTTGCTTTCTATCTATTGTACACTACGAAAAAAAAAAACCGTTTTAGCGCCTTCCAGAACGATGTCAAAAACGTGCATGAGCACGGTACTTGAAAATTCGTAACTAGTGTCAGGAAAAGACTAAGAGGCTATGATGAATAGACTGTGTAGTATTGTGCCCAGACTATCCATGGAAAAAGTTTCAGCCATTGTGGAGCAGTGAGCAAAAGAAAATCTGGATGCGACTCTCGAAAATTTGGAGGTAGAGGCGAAACAGGCTTAATATAATAGTAACCCTTTATCATTTATTTATTAGATACGATACTAAGAAACAAAAAGTGGAATTTTAAGCTTGAAAATTTGTAACTCACCGGAGAAGTTATGAAACAGCCTAAAATTTTTAGGAAAGAAAGTAGGAGGATGGCGTCGTAATATAGCAAAACTGCAGCGAGCAGGCCTCCATAGCAGCGAAAAGTTTAGATGCGACCCAGATACGACCCCTCCCCCCCCCCCCTTTTCATTTCTTGTTGCCAGATATAAAATTTTAAAAAAATCTACAGGCTATGAAATACAACCATTTGCAGAACTCTAGCAGAGCATCTCCAAAGTACAGCTAAATTGTATGGGCCCCTAGAAGACATAAGAAAAAGGTTTTAAAAATTATCGAAGGTCATCGCTAGTAGAGATGAGCGCTTTTGTCGAAAGTGTGAGACTTCAGTGATGCTTCGGAACCAGTATTTCTAGGCCAATTAATCATTTAACATTCTTGTCACACATACATGCCTAGTGTTTGAGCTTTTGCAAGTGTCTTTGGAATCTCCGGTCATACTTGAGACCAGCAAGTTCGATCCTCGTCTGCAACACCTTTTTTGCAGGGAGATAAATGCTGTTTTTTGAAGAGTAAAGAATGTTTGCGCTGAGAAGCTTATTTCCTACATTCCACACTTTTTTAACTCGGACCACCCTCTCTTATGACCCCCTCTCCCCCCCCCCCCACCGCCGGTGCCCCCTTCACGACCAGGGCCCGGCACCGATGGTTTGGGGTCAAACTGGACTTCGCTTTTGGAGTTAGAAGCGACAGGAACATCGTTTTTATGAGGTCCTGGAGGAAGCGCCAAAAAAAACACGACGAACATGTCAGGTTTCACGAGTTGAACGTGTTCTTTCGCAAGCGCGCGAATTTCAAATGCAAGACTCAAACAAACAAATGGCTTGTTTACATCGCACAAACAATCACATGGCTCCGAATTTGGGCTACGTGTATACAATATTACTCCAAACTATGTTATGTAAAAAGTTCCCAAAACTTATGTGTCCTAATATCCGTTCCCGAATTTGTTGGTTCCTAAACCAACTACCAAACCAACTGGGTTGGTTCGGAGCATAAATATCGGAGAGTTCACATAAGTTTTGGACCTTTTTGATTTGAACGATTAGAACGGTCAAAAATCTATCATATAGTGAGGAGAGCGGATCAAACCATTACCTCTTCCCTTTTTTTGAGTCAAAAGTAGTATAATTCTACGCGTTGATAGATATCGCGCTCCAATCACTTGCGGTGACCTTTGAAATATGTAGCGAAAAATGCATCGCAGGATTGTTGAGGCTACAGATTTGGTTGGCATAGGAGATTTTCGACATTCCCAGCATCAAAATGGTACTATACCCAATGGCAGAGGCTTTAATCGACTCGAAATGTTTTCTTTTTGCTTTTTTGTTATATTACATACCTCAAAATGCGCTTTTTTCGCTTTTTGTTGCTATTTTGGTTGAATAAGGGTTTCCCTACTGATTTTCACGTCGAGAGGGACTTCGTAAATTTTCGCGAAGTTATGGGGGACTTCGTTTCCTAAAAACCTCCAAACCAACGCGTGCCGGGCCCTGTTCACGGCCCCCCGTTGCGACAGTCGCATCACACGCTTGACCCTGCTCCTGACTTTGAAAGTTGAGGCCATCAAGCCGTTGTGAGTTTGGTGACTGTCCCACCACTCACTTCAGCAGTGGTACTTTGATTGATCTCACTTGTTTTATTGCGCAGATACTGCTCAAAGTTCATAATTTATCGAAGTAACTAACTTTGCATTTCAGCAGGTATAAAAATTATTAATTATGTAAATGACCTTATATAGGTATTATCTGAAAGAGAATAACATAATCTAACATTTATCAAAATTGGAAAGTCTAATCACTTCTCTTTCTTGAGGAATCTCCAATTAATTCGCAAGTGCCTCATTTTTTACCGTTCACCCTAATAGTTTGAAGCTCACAATAAACTTTTTGATTAATAATTTAGTGTGTGGCCAATGTCAACATCAAGAAACGGTGAACGTAAGAGGGCAACTAAATATCGTTGACCACGTACAGCAAATCGAACAAGAAAATACCGAACCAGGTTTGTTGTATAATTCAGTGAAGGAGACTAGGTCTTTAACAATGATAATTCAGATAACTTTTTTGAAAATCTGACATCTCTACGAATAGCCAGAGAGCACTTGCAGAGAAAAATTGCGGAAGAAAGGCGACAGCAGGAGGAATTCAAGGGAGCCTTGGAAGATGGAAATAGTCCAGAACCAGCGTAGAATCTGCTGCACATGTTTCGCTGATAAAATTTATGGAAAACCTTTGTATAATTTGTCGTACAAGAATCATAAAATTGAGTTGCCAAAAAGCTGTAAGTTGATCTGCTTGCGCAGGGCTCGGCTTGAGGTAGCTTTCCCAATTTTTCAAAAACGAAGTCCCTGTATAAGCCAACAAAAATACGCCTATGATGTGATAATGAATGGATCAAACACGATTTTTCATACATAGTTCCAACTTCCTATCGCGCATCTACACACCAATTTTGGTGTCATATCTTTGTCTCTTCGCTGTAAACAAGCCTTTTGTTTAACTCGGGGGCATTTTGAATCCCGCGCTTACACGGGGAGCACATTGGGGTAGGATGCTGCTTTAGCAGGGAAATGATTCGGTAGGAGCGCTGAGCACTTGCGACGTTTCTCCAGAAGATGAAAAGGTGGTATAAAAGAGGGGGGAGGGAAAGGGATGAAAGTTGGGAGTATATGATGAAAACTGGGAGTATGTATGTGTACGACTCATGTAATAACAGCTCTGGGATGAGTTTTGCTTTCGAGGGGGAGGTGTGCAAGATTTGCTGAGTTAGTGGCCAAATTGACCAAATCGTCGAATTCTTTTACTAGAATTTGTTATTAGAATAGTTTGAGTTGCCTTGCTCAATAAGTTTTTGCATATTTTTTTCTAATCCCGATACCGATTTTAAACGAGGATCGGCGATTTTTCATATACGACAAATTAAGTTTTCACATACATTTTTTCGAGGCTCCACCTTGGACCCCGCAAAAAACGATATCTCATTTGCTTTCCACTCCAAAACGATAAGCCTGCTCGGTTGAGACACCTTTTCCGCGGCCTGCGCTTGCGTTTTGATCGTGACACATGCCATCCTCACCCCACAGTGGAAGTTCTGAATGCAAGGTCCTGAATACAATCCATACAAATATAGGCGCCGTAAAACCTAATTGCCCGCGCCGTGCCTTGAACACCAGCGTTAGCGAGCGGTCGTCGCGAACGACTGTCGGCGTTCACTATATTCCAAGAAATTTTCTTCAGTTTTCATATTGTTCTCGTCAATGCAGGTATATCTCGACGAAAGCTCCGTTCAAAAGTTTGAAAAAATGTGTGTGGAAAGGGTGCGCGCTCATTGTCGCTCGCAAAAAGCCTGTAGCGCTTCGGGACCAAACGTTTCCAGCCGCGCCGCGCGTTGGTGTTCAAAGTGACGCCTCAGACATTCGCGGTTGTCACCCGCAGGTTAAAATGATGTGATCTCATTGACCAACGGCGCGTCACACGAAATCAGTGTCGGGGCAAAATCAGGTCACCTGTGTTTGCAGCGGGGTGACCTGCGGGAGACACCATAATGCCCCGACAGGGCATTCTCCGGTCATTCGGAGTGACCTGCGGGAGACACCATAATGCCCCGATCCTTGAAGCAGTAGTTCATCCTCGTAGGTACGTATATAGTGGCATATACAGGGTGTCCCAAAAAAATGTATCGAACGTTTGATCGTTAATATCTCGCTTCCCAAGAAGTCTTTTGCCTTGCTTCAGATACCGTTTTGTAGAGCTGGCTTCAACTTAGGTTTGCATTATGGAACGAATCACCCATCTTTCTTCATTACTGTAGGATTACGGTAGAAACTTGAAGCGTATGGTGTCAATGTGGAAAAAGCTGCCGTTTCAAAATTTTTCAAAAAAATGTGAAAACTTGTGTTTTGGGGTTTTTGTGGACGCTGAGTTCAATACTCAACTATTCACAAGATTACGAAGCTTTCTAAACGGTGTAACCGCACTTTTTAGGAACATTGAGAAATGGCCGCTGCCTCTTACCTGGCATAACTCTTCAATGGAGCAATCATTGAATTGGGAACTTTACAGTTATAATCAGCAACTCTAATTAGACTAGTGTAAAAGATTTCAGGCTGTTTTGTTTCCTTTCTGGGGCAAAATATGGCCTTTCATTGCTTGAAACCCTCTTTGAAGTTTCTACCGTAATCCTACAGTAATGAAGAGAGATGTGTCATTCGTTTTATAATGCAAATCTAAGTTGAAGCTAGCTCTACAGACTGGTACCTGAAGCAAGGGAAAAGACTTCTTGGAAAAGGAGATATTAACGATCAAACGTTCGATACATTTTTTTGGGACACCCTGTATATATTTTAATATATATAATTCATATGTATATATAAGTATATATATAGTAAGTATATATATAGTGGAACACACAAGTATAGAGTATATACTCTATACTTGTGTATTTACTTCTACCGTGCTGTCTTCTTTTACTGTCACTAACAAATCAAGCTATAGTATTTATTAACCACTTCATGGTACAGAAAAATCCACATCAACGCAAAATTAAATAAACTACATCGAGAGAACACTTGACAAAAAACAACTGGAATTGGATTAATGTGTGTCGTTCGCATCCGTTACTGCAATATCGGCGTCCGTTTTTTTGATGATGTTCAATTCAGTGCTCACGTTAGATGTCCTGGGGCGGTTCTTCTGAAAAACATCAGCATCAGATGCGTAAACTTCTTGGGACGAAAGTTTTACCTTTGACGCCTTTGTCGTATTCTTATGCAGATTGTAGAAGTTCTTTGTCCGGTAGGCCAAAAGCGTCCAATACAAACCCTGGATAAATTATTCGAATTGATGTACAAAATGACGGAACAACCTACTTATTACAAAATCCACAGTGCTTTCCGGGAGATCCTTCAGGTTGTCATCTTCTCCTTTTTTGCCAGCTTGCTTACATGCATACTTTTGAATTCCTCTGCCGGTTCACAAGTCCAAACAACGCTTGCATTGACGAAATAGTGCCTAAGAAAATCAGGAACATGATGACAATGCAGAAAAGCGTTTATTCATTTCATATTCAAAAACCTCAATCGGGCTGGGTTTTAAAGAGCAGACTTTCTTTTTTCGGTTAGACAGACAAGAGCATTTGTGGGACTATGATTGAGCGAGTTAGAAGGCCGAATATCATTTTTTCCGTGTTTGAAAGATGGATTTTGACAACTGCGATTTCTTCAATTCGGTGTGGATTGTTGCCTCATGCCAAAATTCAAACAGCTTCTGATACTCGTTAATTTCGAAAAATTGCGATTTTCGGGTTACAGCGACTGGTTAATAAAAATTAGCTAGATCACTTTTTGGTGAGGAACGAAGTCAGAAAGGACCACAATGGAACAAAAGAATGTGGAGAAGACGACTACCATCAAAACATGTATAAAATAGAGCAAAGAATGAAATTTTGGCAGCTCATCAAACTTTTCTTATAAAAAATTTTCAAATTTTCTTATAAAAAGACATTTTTCAAACTATGACAATACTTCGAGCGCTAAACTGTTTTTTTTTGCTAGAAAAGTATTGTGCCATAAAAATTTTCTCGTAAAATGACGTTTTCGCAAATTTTGTTCTGTACGTGTCAGCTTGAAGCTACCCATGATAAATAACGGATAGTATAAGTTACATGTTTTGACAGCTTTTAGCTAGCTAGCGACGTTTCAATGGTTTCTTGAACCCGACACAAGATTACGAAATTTCAAGTTTGATTAAAGCTTGTAGTTGGCTTGAAACTTAGACTCAAATCAGGCTTGTGGCTAACAATTTGAGTCTAAGCTCAAAAAATTGTACTCCGCAAATTTGCTGAGTTGGAAGGAGTCCTGAAGTAACTGTTGTTGTTAGTGAATTGAGAAGAAAGTGCTTACTTTCGATCTACAACGCGAGCGCAGAGATTGTAAGTGAACTTGCCATTTTGGACGCGCGATCTCATCTGAACTGACAAACCGTCAAATTAATGTCCTATGGAAATGGTGACCTTACTTTTATTATAATATGTGCATGTAAAATTAAGGAAGATAATAAGCGAAATTGAATCAAAAGGCATCATTAAGTATGATGAAGATAGAGTGGGTCTGGTATAATGACAAGTTTATGCTATGAAAGATCACAAATGATCCCAAAGAGCGATTATGAGCGATGTATAAGAAAGAATAAAAGCAAAAACATTGAAGAAAAAGGCACCAATCAACAAAAAGCAATCACCAAGAGAAGAAGAAAAGGCACAGGCTATTTCGCAACATCACTATCATACACGCATGCGGCGTGCATCGGGGCAAAATCGCAGTAAAATCCGGTCAAAACTAAATTCATGTCTCCCGCAGGTTCACCGGGTTTTGGTGCGATCAGCCATTTTGTGGGCGGTCCACCTGCGGGTGACAACGGCGAATGTCTGAGCGCGTTGGCAATTGCATTTTACGGGGCCTGTACTTCAACGACATGCCTTTTCCGATTTCAAACGTGACTATCGGAGTACGGTAGCTCTGCGCTAGGTTTTTAGGCAGTGCTAGCGTATGCGTGTTGAAGTTAGCACATGAGCAACTTGCCGTGAGCAGACTTACTGAAAACTAACGACTTGAAGGCAGTGACCCGGGAAAATTGCAACTGCGAGCTTTCCACACCTACATGGCCTTCTGGAACCGTGAGGATAGGTGGAAGGGATGGGCGAGGGATTACCGCCATAAACAACGACCGGCTGCATCTTTTGGCGGTAGTTGATCGGCTCAGGCAGCCATTTGCGATAATGGCAAAATCCCTCTCCCATCCTAGCTATCATATAATATATAATTATAATATAACTAGCTGGCTTGCCCGGCTCCGCCGGGCCTGCCAGCTAGACCCGTGTACGTATGTTCCAAATAGAAAATTCCATTTCTGAACCGATCCGGACCAAACTTTGCACACATACACTTCGGGCCCCGGCGGGTGTCACAGTCCACTTTTCGTTATCGATCGATGTCGATTATACCGATTTTTATCGATCTTTTTTGCAGAGTTCACCTACAGGGCTAGGAGTTGGCACAGGGGGGAAGTGAGCATGGGGATTCCGAACACAATATTAGTTTTCAGAATTATCGATTACTTTTATTGATTTTATCGATTTTTTTGTAAATTTTGACCTGCGGGGCTGGGAGTTTGCACAGGGGGGTAATCGAGC